AATCAGAACTGGCTTTGACAAGCACTGTGGCATTTGGACAAGAACAAACTGGGAGGAGGGTAGAGAGAATAGTGCAACAAGGAATGAATGGAAACCCAAAATCTCTGTAAATGTTTATGAAAAATTAATAAAATATAGAAAAAAAAAAGTTCTTCTGGGACCTTTGCTGGCAGCCATGGCTGACCATGCTGTGGATAGCGCTAGTGGTCTGTGCTTGGGATGGTCTGTCCTCAGCAGTGTGACGAGAACTGAGAACCGAACAGGCCTAAGAGCTGGTTAGATATGATCAAAGACTCTGTGTTCTCTTACAGTCTCTTTGTATTTCTGCTATTTGTTTTAGAATTGACCTCGTGGCTGACCAAGTCACCAAGGTAACATTGGGAAGACTACACTTCAGTGAAACCACAGCAAATAACATGAGAAAGAAGGGAAAACCCAATCCTGATCAGAGGTACTGGCAGGCACTGTGACCACTGCAGGGTGGTGGGGCATTTCATAGACGGGCTGAGGCTTTGCTGATCTTTTCGGCCCTGCCAGCTGGTTAATGGGGCCTCCTTTCCTCTCTACTCTGACTCTATTTATCAAAATAAAAATAGAATAAATGTTTTCATCAATTCTCGTTCATGGCGCCTCACGTATGCCAGAGTAGAACTGTGCTCCGCAGGTTTTCAATGTTGATTTCTCAGAAGTAGATTAGATTGCCAGGTCTTTCTCCAAGGGACCTCTGGGTGGGTTACATTCTGAAGCCTTCCTTTTGATTAGCAGTCTCAGGCATTGATCATTTGCCCCACTCGTGAATTCCCGTCAGACTTTTAAGCTGGCTCATCAGGCACCTTCTTCCATTTTTATTCCTTGCAATGCTCACACCCTTGCCTATCTCTAATTCATCTTTCCTATAATCCTTACAAGGTCCTCCGTTGCACCATGTGTCTACCTCTCATTGCCACCTGAGGGTAAAGGACTGTCTCAACCACATGCTTCTGTGTGCTGGATGCCAGGATTTTTCTCTGAGGCTTGGAGCTCTCTATAGCCTTTTTAATTAAAAAAAAATCATAAATCTACATTACTATTTAGATGTGGGGTTCTCAAAACATGAACTAGCAGAGTTCACATTACCTGGGGCTGTGTTAGAAATGCCAATTCTCAGGAGGCCTCATCCCAGACCCACTAAATCAGAAACACAGGAATGCAACTCACTAATTTGTAGTATAATATGCCTGTCAAGTGGATCTGAAGCCAACCATGTATTTGAGAAACACTCGCTTGAATATCATTTTTGGAGTGGTGCAGAGTCAAGTTTGAATATTTAATTTTGCCTTGACACACTGAGTGAGGTCCAGCTTGTAATCTAATCTCTCCGAGACACATTTTTCTAATCTGCAAAATGGAAACAATAACAATATCCTACCTTAATAAGATTGTTTTAAGGATCTAAATAAAAAGAATGTAGGTAAACAGCTTCTCCCATGACTGACATGTGAGCACTCCAAAGACGATGATGATGATGATGATGATGATGATGATGATGATGATGATGATGGGGGGGGTTGGTGGTGTGTGTGTGACTGGATGTTGAGCCAGAACTGACTCATACCTGACCCTGCAGCAGGTGCTGGTTTCAGAGGCTGTAAATTGCATGGGAAGAGATTGGCCATCATTCTCCCATAAAACAGCTGGTGGATTTGAACTGCATGCCTTTGAGTTGCCAGTACAACTCTTAACCCACTATGCCACCAAAGCTACCTCAATAGTTGTTAGTTGTTTTTGTTGTTATGTGCCGTCGAGTCGTTTGCGACTCATAGCAACCGTATGAACAATAGCCCTAAACCCTGCTCTATCCTGTGCCAATCGCATGGCCTCTGACACACCCATCCTGATTACCCCAGTCACTGAATCAATCCACCTCATAGAGGGTCTTCCTCTCCTGCGCTGTCCCTCATGATGTCCCTCTCTAAAGACCTGTCTCTCCTTACAACAGGTCCAAAGTATGCCAGACAAAGCCCCAGAATCCTTGCCTCCAAGGAGTAGCCTGGTTTAACCCTCTCCAAGATGAATCTGTTTGTTTTCTTGGTAGCCCATGGTACATTCAATACTCTTCTCCAGCACCACAGCTCAAAGGCATCAATTCTCCTTCTATCCTTCCTAGTCATTGTCCAACTCTCTGATGCATAACAAGTGATTACAAAGACCATAGCCTATATCAGGCGCACCTTAGTCTCCAGACAGACACCGTTGCTCTTGAGTTCTTTAGAGAGGTCCCTAACAGCAGACTTTCCCATTGCAATACGTTTTTTTAATTTCCTGGCTGCTGGTGCCAAGAGTGTTGACAGTGGAGCCGAGCAAACTGAAGCTGTCAACAATCTCCATCTCTTCGCCATTCATCCTGATGCTACCAATTGGTCCAGTGGTGAGAATCTTTGTCTTCTTGACATTGAGCCTCAGTCCATACTGAAGGCTGCAATCCTTGACCCTCTGCAGCAAGTGCATGAGGTCCTCCTCAGTTTCAGCAAGCAGGGTTGTGTCATCTGCATAATGCAGATTGTTAATAGATCTTCCACCAATCCTGATGCCACACTTCTCCTCATAGATGATAGAGAAAATAATAGCAATGATAACAAATTCCACTATTATTGATTTACTTTAGACAGTTTTCTAGAGTGAGTGGAGAATCTAAAAGGTATTATGGAGAAAGATAGTGGATACAGTTGTTAAAAAAGAAGCTTCTCTTACAGGGATTGTATTTGTTTTGGCTTTTACCAGATAGCCTTAACTTCTTATTAGTGACACATGAGGAGAAGCAATTAAAATAATAGTGATGAATATTGTTTGGGAAACTATTGGAGGGGAGGATTCAGACCTTTGGCTAAAGACATGACCAAAGATGTGGAAGGTACAGGATCCGGGGTCCAGTATAAGCATGGCAGGAATGATCCAGCTTGGTTGGGTAAACTTTCCTGGGCCTCTCTCCATTAAATCGAAGGCTTGGGGGACTCTGGCCAGAACACCTGTGAGATGTCTTCCTGTTGTGTGTGTGTTTGTGAGCAATGCTGTGCTGACTGTATAGAAACACAGGGTGAGGCTTGCATGGAGTCAGCACAGATGGGCTAGCCCAAGGCCCTCACCTCCCAGCCTCCTCTGTAAAGTCTTAGCTCCTGCTGCTTTGGGGCCTGCAAAGCAATTTGCAAATAACTGAAGCCAGGCAAAAGGCTGACCCAGAACAAGAGTGAAGGAACCAAGTGCTTTCTTAGAGCAGCCCAAAAAGGGCAGTCTTTACGTTCACAAACTCCTCTAGGAAGATTCAGTTTTAATTAGCTCTTGAGTGGTGTTCGGTTACATGAATTCTTCATCTGGCCCCTGATGTGCTTGCACTGCTCTGCTGTTTCTAAATTAGATACTTCATGTTGGTGGTTGGATTGTATGCAGCAAACGAAGACCAATTCTATCTGCTGTCTGCACACATCTCGGAGAGGATCATTGTGCGGGTGAGTTTAGTGTGTGATTTTTCTGGGCCTTCCGTGCCTTTCTCCCCTGCAGGCAGAACTCATGTTGCCAGCGGTATGCTTGCAATATGTTAGTCCTCTATTGCTGCTGCTGATGGTGATGGAGAGTGGAACAGTAAAAGTCAATCTAGTTATTTCGGTTCTCAGTCGAGAGTGATCCACTCCCTAAACCTCAGTGGTTATTAGCCTTTTGAAGACATTTTTGATTTGTCAGAATTGAGTGGGAGTTGGTACTCTTTTGGAATGAGGAGAGTCCAGGGAGACTGCCAGATACGGTGCTAGATGTAATATAGATCTCACAACAAAGGTTTGTCCAACTCAGTATGTTTTTATGACTGAGCCTGAGAAACCGGTTTCTATACTATGCTTTGAGAAATGGGCTAGCTAGTTTATATCTGACATCGTTTTGTTCTTTGCTTTCAAAGGAGCTACTCTTTAGCAGGCTAACTCATGTGTCCACGATCACAGAATGTATAATGATGACATCCAGATGACACCAGATCCCTTTGACCTCAAAGCCTGCAGGGTATATCCCCCCACCCCTCAGCATGAGAAAGGTGCCAGGAAGTCATCTCTCCTCTGCTAAAAGTGATGGGTGACCCCAGAGACATCAGGCCCATTGCCCAACAGAGTCATGGTTCAGCAGATTTCCCTGAATGAATGACCACAGCTGTGGGCATGAGCCTTGGCAGCCACAAACACATAACACTATTGGCAGCTGGAGCTGCAGCTGTATCAGGTCAGGCTAGCTGCTGCAGAGAATGCCAGGGACATGAAGTAACAGGTAATCACATGGCCTTCAGCCGTGGGAGGGGCTGCATTGTCATGGTCTTTGAAATAAGACAGAGGGGACATGCATAGGCCAACAGGCAAAATTGTTGGAGGTGGATATGGGAATGCCCTTGTATGTGGCTGTCAACCTGAGATCTTGAGTGGAAAATCTGCCTGCTTTGGGAAGTAAAGTCCTTCTTTGCTTGCCTCAAGCTTTTTCTGAAACAAAGAGCCCTCAGTATTATTCTTTTAGTCTATTAAAACTAATAAGCCACCTATTAGTAAAAATCCTTAGATACACATTTCAGGTTTTAATGGTGGTGAAGTAATGAGCAAATAAAAGAAAACATTTATGTGTCCAGATGTGCTCCATGTGCCTGGGACGATGTATGCCCACGCTGTGTTTATTTGGAAGCCTCTGATACCAGAATACTCTTTACAAGCAGGGATAGTGAGAATTCATCACATGGATTTTTAGCATGTTACTAGGAAGGACAAGTTTCAGGAGAAAGACATTATGCTTTATGGAATAAGTTAAAAAAAGAGGGAAGACCTTCAAACAAACTGACACAGTGGCCGCAGTAATGGGCTCGTGCACAGTAGCAATTGTGGAGATGGTCCAGGACGGGGCAATGTTTTGTCCTGTTGTGCACAGAATCACTATGAGTCAAAGCTGACGTAAAGGCACCAAACAATATCAACAACGATAATAATAGGACCTGTGGCAAATGAAGTTGCTCTTTGACAAGGGGAGGACTCTTTGTTTTGGTTATAAACCAATTACAAAACTGCCACGGCCATCGAGGTCATTTTAGAGACCTCACCTAATGTAATCTGGTGGTGTTTTACCTCATAATTTGATTTCAAGTAAAATTTGAAAAGTCAGGCTGCTTGTTGATTTCTGGATTCTGATAGAAAGGACTAAAGGCAGGCAAAGCCATTCTTTTCAAAGTTAGCAGAGATTAGGTATCATGAAATGGCTCCGCTGAGCTGTGTAACTCATACTGGAATTAGACACTTTGCTAGTCACCTGCATACTTTAAATAATTTACCTAGTGGCAAGATCTCTTTATTTCCTGCTGGTGACTTCAGCAAGTAGATACTGTGACTGTTGTGCAGTCTCACAACAGTAGTAAAGGGAGCTCAACTAGTATTCTGTTAAGCAGAACTCTTAGTTCATAACATATCCTCATATCCAAAGTATATACATACACCTTAGCTATAAAATAAGGAACAACATGCAAATCACTCCTTCAATACAAAAACACTGACAGATAGGATTGTGCTCCTATGAACAAAATATGTAAAAAAAAATAACATGTGTTACACTGGGAAAAGGCTACTGTTAAGGACCTCTCCAAGGTGCTAAGGAGCAATGATATCAGTTTAAAGACTAAGGTGCACATGATTCAAGCCATAGTCTATGCAATTACTTCTTACGCATCTGTGATTCAAGCCATGGTCTATGCAATGTCTTCTTATGCATTTGAAAGTTGAAGACTGAATAAGGATGACAGAAGAAGAATTCATGCCTTTGAATTATAGTATCAGATAGAGCACTGGCTATCTTATGGACTGCTAAAAGAACAAGCAGCTATGTCTTGGTAAAAGTGCAACTAGAATACTCCTTAGAGACAAAGATGGTGAAACTTCATCTCACATATTATGGACATGTTGTTAGGAGGGGTCAGTCTTTAGAAAAAGGTATCATGCTTGGAGAAGTGGAGGGAGTTGGTGATGAGTTCAAGTGACCATATATTGGGTTTTCAAGTCTATAAATCTTAATGGGAGGAGACTGTTTGTCTCTCTTGAGGATCCAATACTGGGTTTAAACTGCCAGAGACACATGGAATGCTATGGTGTGCACCACTAGATCTTCTTGTACAGACCAGATTAAATTTTGCAAAAGAGCTTCTTGGGCTGTGTTGTAGTTCTGTTAGTTTGAGCTCCAGAATGTAGGCTGGGAATAAAATTAGGCACTTGATTGTGTTACAGGCAGGCCTTGGAATAGTAAGTAAATGGATGAAGATGATTCTATGAGGGTTGGCCCTAGATAAGTTTCAGACCTCCAGGAGGGGTTCTGGAGACCAATTTTGTCAAAATGATCCTTTGACAGAGAGAGTGGTGGGTAGGACTCAGTAAATTGTTCATCTAAATTGTCAATCAAAACAGCTTTAGATGTATATTGTGGGCCTGCAGTGTAAATAGACCAATTTAATGGAAATTAAGGTTTACACAGAAAAACCCAGATGTATTTCCCAGGCCTTTGTTTTTGGTAGCAACCCCCCAGTGGAGTTCCATCAGTGTTCCCTTGTTAATTATTAGGCTTTACTTGAGCTTCACTTTCTATCTTAAACACATAATTAAACCTGGTTGGGAGTGCTGGGTTATAAACAGGAGAGATGATTACTCTTTTCTGCTTTTCAAAGACATGTTAGGGTTTCCTTGTTTTAAAACCGAATACATTATTCCAATTTCTTTTCCAGAATAATAGAAATGGGCACACCCCCAAGAATTCTTCCTGTGTTTCACAAGCCACACAGCCATGAGGTGGAAAATCACACAGAGGGAGAGGAAATACAATAGAGACCATGCAGGTGCAAAGATATTAAGGGATGGGGCTAGGGCAGAGCTGTTTCTGGTACAATCTTCCTTTTCATGCCTCTCTACATTTCTGACCACAAAATTCCCTTTTTCCAACACAAAAATCTAATCTCTCCAGGAGTTCAGATTAATTACAAACAATTAAAAACCCTAAGGAGTCATGCAATCTGTTTTACTCTGTAGCTGGAACTCAGCAGAGCTTTCTGTCAATTATTGTTCTTGATGTATTCTGTGCAATTGGTACTGACCCAGAGCTGCCCATCCAACAGATTTTCAAAGGCAGTAAGTCACACGGAATTGCCTATCTTTCTCCCATGGAGCATGAGGCCACCAGAGGCATGCACTGCTAATTGGTTGTTAATTGAAACATTGTCAGTTTGAACTCACCAGGCATTCAGCACCAGAAAGGTGGAGAATCTCCTGTAAAAATGTACAGCCTCTGCAAAGTTTACCAGGACAGCAAGTAATACATGTTGGAGATGATAGTGCGAGACAGGAACTCTTGTACATTGTTGGTGGGATTGTCAAATGGTGTAACCATTCTGGAAGGCGGTTTGATGTTTCTTCAAAAAGCTAAACATAGACATTCCATATGACCCAGCTATTCCACTGCTTGGAATATACTCTGGGAATATGAAAACTGAGGCACAGAGACTTGTATGCCAATGTTCATAGTAGCATTATTGACCATTGCAAGACCATGGAAACAGCCCAGATGCCCAACCACACTGGAATGAATGAGAAATTATGGTCCATTCACGTGATGGAATACTATGCAGCACACAGGAGCAATGATTTTGTAAATTACTACCTAACTTGGGAGGGACTGAAAAGCATTATGCTGAGTGACCTCAGTCCCCTAAGGACAAATACTATATAAGAACATTATTGTAGAATAAGTATGAGGATCCAAGAGGGGAGGGAGGGAGCAGAGAGATGAAGATGGGTGGGGGAAGGTGTTGGTTAATCATAGGGTTGCACAATTTGATGGGTGAATGGTAAAAGAAATGAAGAAAATCTGGTGTGAAAAACAATGTTTACAAACTTTATAGGTAAACCAGTATAAAAGAAATTATTGAAGTTTTAAAAAATCCTCAAAACAAAATAAAACAGAAGATTTACAGCCTCTGAAACCTGATGAAGAGTCACAGTTGGAACCAACAAGATTGTAGGTTTGGAAGGGGTAACTCAACCAGGAATGGATAATGTCATCAAGTACTTAACCTGTTACATAACTCTGAATCTCCTAGACAACTTGTTAAAACACAGATATTTAGGCGCCACAGCTACTGTTTTTAATTAAGTAGATTTGGGATACCCAAAAACCTGCATTTAAGACCAGCTTCCAGGTGATAAGTCTGGGTCTGTCAGCAGCATTGGCATAAATTCTTGGGGGGTATGCCCATTTCTATTCTTCTGGAAAAGAAACTAGAATAATTTATAAGGTTTTAAAACCCTCGGCTAGGGTTTTCTGTAGCTCTTTCAGAAAGCTGCAAAAATTCTTTTCTTTTCCGATTAGCTGCCTTCCTCAGCTCAGCTCTCCTGCTGTAGAAATCCAAACAATGGCAGCGCCAATAGTTCCCGGTTTCCCATTCTAAGTGCTGTTTCTTTTTCCAAGTACCTGCAGGGGGCGCCATTTGCATTGTATAGTCTGAATGGTTCTTGATCCAGAGGTGCAGTGGAGCCCTTTTGAATTTAGCTCCTAGCTGCCCCATAAAATTTCCCATAGGGTTTTCTCAGTAATCTTTAACGGAGATCTTCTCTTCTGGCCTCTCAATCTTTCAGTTGAAAACTGAGTGCTTAATTGTTGTGCCAGTGGAGCTTTTTGGTGAATAGAGTTCCCTAGAGTTATGCAACTGTGAGGCCTAGTCCCATGGATACTAAAGAAAAGAAAACATAATCAGTTGATATCTTGCTAAGGAGAGTAGACTAAGTGATTATAGGTTGGATAATAATTGTTGGGTTTTATTTCCTTCACTTAAGAAAATTCATAAAAGATTGTGCAAAGTACACATGCTTTCAATTAATTCCCACAATATGATAGATAAATGAGACAGATAAAAGAAAATATTGCTACCCTCGTCCTTCAGAAGAGGAAAATGGTACAGAAAGGCTAAGTGCTGCTCTAAGGTCGTATATATAGTTTGTGCCATAACATGGGCTAGTTCAGATTTTCCGTAACTACATGAAACAAATAATAAAAATATCTTATAAACAAAAAGTAATTAATTTTGGTGATTGATGCAAACCATCCCCTAATGAGGCACATGTGAATGCTGTTGTTGTTAGGGGTCATAAAATTGACCCCAATTCATAGTGATCACATGTGAGCGAGTACAACTCTCCATCTGGTTTTCTCAGTTATAGTCTCCGTGGGAGCAGATTACTAGGTCCGGCTCCATGGGAGCTGCTGCGTGATTTCAGAACCAGCCGGTTTAGTCAGCAGCTGGGTGTTTGAGGGTGCTAAAAACTTCATCGTTACAGAAGCACACCTTTTCCTCACTTATCAATGGAGTTAGAGGCCAAAGACCAGGTCATTATGCAAATACTGGGACTGTGTACAAATGGAGGGTGACTGCATCATTGTTGTGTACTGTAGAGTCAGAACCAACCCCGAGCGCCGGGTTTTCAGAGGCACTTAATCTCATGGGAGGAGACTGTCCAGCCTTCTCCTGTGGAGCAGCTGGTGGATCTGAACTGTGTGCCTTCGGCATTGCAGTGCAGCTTCTTGCCACTAGGCCACATCATTATACAGCTAATAAATTACATTGTTACCTAAGTGCCAAACTCCTAAGAATCATGGCCCAGACAAATTGACACACTATATTAAACAGCATAGCCGGTATTGTTTTTCCTCACACCTTGGTGTTCATATATGAACACACACAAGCCAGATATATGTCATTAATATGTAAAGTAGTGATATCAAAGATGCTTTACTGTTATAAATATGAAATGTCAAATAACAAGTAACAGGAAGTGAGGAGTAGGTGTATATTAAAGTCTGTTTTGATACAATTAAAATTTCAGGTTCCAGAGAAAGGTAATAAATTCACAGCTCTTTTAATAACAAGTCCTGGCACTGATGAGAATCCTTCTGTTGTGTATGTGGAAACTGGTAGATAAGTGATCCTTTCCAAAATAATAGGGATATATTTTACAGGTTGAATGTTTATCTGATACAAGCTAAGTGAGAATGTTGTAATTATTTTTTTAAAAAATCCAATTCTACTTATATCTACTGTTCCATAATCAAGTTACAACATAATAATAAGTACCCAAAAGCTCATTTAAAAAAAATCCATCACTGTCTTATTTTGTTTTCTTGAGGTGGCTCATTACATTCTGAGGAGAGCAAAAATACATCAACATTTTTTTCTGGCATACCTTTGGATTTAGTTGATTGCTCACTCTAAGAGGATTTGAATTAAAGCCAATTTGCCATTTACAACCAGGGGGACTCTAGGGACCTTGCAGAAAAGCTCTTTGTTCAAGTAAATTCACAGAAAATAATGCTCAGACTTGCTGTTTTGTGTTCTCCCCCTGGCTTTTGTCTATTATCTTTAGTCAAGAATTAAATCTTCAGTTGAGCTCAGGAGTGAAATAGGAAGCTGAAAACATCTATAGATTCTTAAATGAACCTAAACCAAGATCTATGTGTTTTTAATTGGTAATACATGCATTGTGTCTTATAAATTGGTGAAAATATTGAACAGCGTCAAAATTACAGTTTATATAATTCAGGGTCCCTGGTGGCCTAGTGGTTTGGAGCTACACTGTCAAACCAAAACCACCTGATTCTAATCTACCAGCTTCTCTATGGGAGAAAGAGAGGTAATCTCCCATGTGATTTTCTACCTCTGAAAACCTGCTGGAGGGTCAACCGTGGGTCGATTCCTACTCTACAGCACACAGGAACATGAGGAAAATGGTGAATCTTCCATCCAGTTTCTCTACCTCCAGGTTCCCATCCCTGTGAAAACCACTGTTGTTAAATTACTTGAACATTCTTTCAGAGATATTTATGTAGCCTCAGGGGTTGAGCTTACAGTGTCTCATGTACCAAAAAGAAAGACAAAAAGTGAAGTTACTGTTCTAGCGATGATTTTGGATAACCACGGTTCCTACTGCTTCTCTGAATTGTGTGACAACCTGCCTGGATTCTATGACAAACACATTTAGTAGAATGTGCAAAGCAAGCTCATTTCATTGGGAAGATTTTGAAGGTGTCCTAGTGGCAACAGTGGTTAAATTCTCAGTTGCTAACTGAAAGGTTAGCAGTTGGAACCCACCAACTGCTCCATGGGAAGGCAGTGTAGTAGTATGCATCTGTAAAGGAAAACCTTGGAAAGCTTATGGGGGGGAGCAGTTCTACTCATTCCTACAGGGTCACTATGTGCCAGAACTGACTCAGTGGCAATGAATAGAGCTATTTGTTTGTTGTTGTTGTTGTTTTTCCTTAAGAGATCCCTACTTAAGGATGTGGTTGCCAGGTACTGTCCAGGTGACACTGCCTCATAGAGACTTTATGAACTAGAGATTGTACCCTTGTCTCATCCTGTACTGTCCTCTCAATCCCCACATGTCGCATGCGCAGGGCTATTTACAGTCACTGTGTCAATCCATCTCATTGGGTATCTTCTATCTCTTCCAACATGAGGCCCTTCCCTAAGAGCTGGACCCTACTGATGACACGAACAAAGTTTTACCATCTTTGCCTCTAAGGAGCACTGTGGTTGCATTTCCTCCAAGACAATTTGTTTGTTCTTTTGGAATTTCATAGGATATTTAGTACTCTTCTTTCTCAACACCGTACTTCATATACATTGATATTCTTGGTCTTCCTTATTCATCATTGTACATGCAGATGTATAGGAAACAATTGAAAGGCCCATGGCTTGCATCAGATACACTTTAGTCTTTATTTTTTTAAAATTAATTAATTTATTTTTCATTTCAATGAACATCTACAGAGATCTTAGCATTGCATTCATTCATTGTTGCACCACACTTTAGTCTTTAATTTGACATCATTGCTCTTTAGAACTTTGGAGTGGTCCTTGCCAGAAGATATAACAAGCCTTTTAATTGACTGACTGCTGCTACCATGGGTGTTGACTGTAGTAAATCAGTAAAATGAAATTGTTGACAACTTCATTCTTTTCTCCATCCATCATGATGTTGTCCATTGATATAGTGGTGAGGATTTTTGTTATCTTGATGTTAAGACTTTTCGGAGATAGTTACAGTATAATAAAGATATTTGTATTATCATTTGCTTGACACATGTAGAATAAACAAGACAGTATTTTGAAACTATAAAAGAATTAGCTAAATCCAAAGCATCCTTAGCTGAGCTTATAGTATTGTCTGATGTAATGTTCTGGTCATTTTGAGGTTTTTCTGTCTTCCTAATCATTCATATAGAATGATTGACTGTATTCGTAATTCCAGATACTCAGTAGAGATTGGATAGTGCAAACCATGGTACAAAGAACTCCTGATAATGGGGAGGCAGAGCATCGCGGGGGTCAGGAAGGCCACAGGATTGTTTGGATATGTCAAATAGTTCCAGGATATGTTTTTCTTATGAAAGACTTCGATGACCTTCTGGTTTTCTTTACTAGGAAGAAAAAAGTGACCATTCATTCTTGCTACTGTAACTTTAATTGTAATGTATTTATTATTTCCAGGCCTCTAACCCTGGACAATTTGAAAATGACAGTGATACATTATGGCAGCGAGGACAAGTTCCAGAGTCTGTCATCTGTCGAGGCCGAGTTGGAATAAACACTGAGACACCAGACGAAGCCCTGGTTGTCGGTGGCAACGTGAAAGTGATGGGGTCAATCATGCATCCTTCTGACAGCCGGGTGAAGCAGAATATCCAGGAGGTAAGCACAGGGCAGGCCTTAGACAACTGCTCAGATGCCTTGGGAAGGTAGCTGCACACCTCCAATCTCCAACCCTCCTGCACAGAGCATCTTGACTTGATATGATACAAACAAGTTGTTTAAAAATGATAACTGTGTAATCTATTAGGCATCTCTGCTGAAAAGCAAGTTTTACCCAAGAGAATGGATTTACCTGACAGGAGCCAGGGTGATGGCACCACATCATTGACTCTTCAAGCAGGAAGTGTTCGAGTTACTTCCACAGGTCATGGTCATTTTTTTCACGCCTTGTCAAATAAGAGCTGAACTTTTCTTTCGCATCTCCCAAATTGGACTCTCCCTTAGTTTTCTGTGTCTGTGCCTGTTCAAGTATTTTTGGGCTTCTCCAATTTCTTCCTCTCTGAGCTCCTGACACCAGCCCTGCCAAACATGCTTTTCTTCTTTCATTACCTTATTCTGATGAGTTCAAGAAAATACTCCTCCTGTGCTCTGACCACTGCCATCACTCAAGGGTCCTGATCAGGACCTTTTCCTATTGTGGGGAAGCAGTGTTTCCTGGTGGAAGGAACTTGCCCTAGGAACCAGGGAACTGATCCTCTATTTTGGTCCATCCCAGGTTGTGACGCTGGATAAATCTCAGTGTTTGTTAGATGCCTTTGAGTCAACTTTCAGAGAACCTTGCACTATCCCATGTCACCCTCACAATCTCTGATGGGCTCAAGTTCGTTGTTATAGTCACTGAGTCAGTCCTTCTCATTGAGGGTCTTCCTCTTCTTTGCTCACTCTTTACCTTTCCAAACATAATGTCTTCTCCCAAGGACTAGTCCATCCTGAAAACATGCCCAAAATATGTGAGACAAAGTTCTAACACCCTTGTTTCTAAGGAGCATTCTGGTTTTGCTGCCTCCAAGATAGATTTGCCTGTTCTTTTAGCAGCCCATGAGATATTTAGTCCTCTGCTTTGGGAAAGTCTGCTGTCAAAGACCTCTCCAAATTACTGAGGAGCAATGATGTCTGTCTAGAGACTAAGGTGCATCTGATTCAGGCCATGGTCTTTTTAACCACTTGGTATGCATCTGAGAGCTAGACAATAAATATGGATTACAGAAGAAGAATTGATACCTTTGAGCTCTCTTTTGAAGAAAACTACTGAATATCCCATGGATTACAAAAGGAACAAGCAGATATGTCCTGGGGAAGGTGCAGCCAGAGTGCTCATGGAAGGCAAAGATGGTGAAGCTTCACCTCACATGCTTTGGGCTTGTAGTTAGGAGAGGTTATTTCTTGGAAAGGGATGTCATGCTTGGAAAGAGAGAAAGACTCACACTGAAATGGACTGACACAGTGACTGCAATAATGGACTCAAGTGGATCAGAGATGATGAGGATTAGCTCAGGATAGGACAAGGTTCCAGTCAGTTGTTCATAGGGTCGCTAGGAGTCATACTTGACTTGATGGTACCTAACAATAGGTTTTCCCCCTAGCCAGTTAGATAATAGGTGTAGTTAGTCTTGGAATGGTAGAGTTGCTGTATAGACCTAAAGTATTGGGATTACAATTTCAATCCTTTAGCCTAATGGCAGCTTTCCCATTATTTTATCCCTTTTCCTGTTTCCTACTTCTGCAATTTTTATATTAGGTCCCCCTTGAGTGGTTTTTTTTACCCCCTTAACTAGTTTTGAGGTTGTGACTCGTATTTTTTTTTAAGCCTCTTTTCTCCTCTTTTCCTTTTTTTCTTTTTTAAACCTAATCTATTAATCACTGGCCCTCCGTCCAGACTACATTCCCTTCTCAGTGAAAATCTGCATTGGTTTCTCTAAACCAGCTGAGGAATGTCCTTCTTTGCTGAGAGGATTCAAAAGAATGGTTGTAATCGTAGACTTTTATACTGGCTGGGAGGCTGCCATTCATGTTAGAAGCTGTGACCTATTAGCACGATGGGAATACTTAGGACTGGAAAGTTCTCACACACATTTCCAGATGTCTGCCCTAGATAGTGAAGCTTAGACTTTTAGAGTCAGATAAATTGGCTGTATTTCCGATCCTGCCAACTCAAACTTAGCCTTGCAGTTGGCTGAACAATTCCTTCTCGTTTTTGTCTACCTGTTAATGGAATAGGACAGCCGAGGGGAATCCTCCACAGCCGGCCCCTTCCCCCCAGCTACTATCAGGTTCTCTACAGGACTTCATTCACCAAACATTTTAAAACGTTGCCCTTTGATTTGAAGAAAATGTGTTTACTTAAAACAATACAGTTTTGCAGGTCTTTTCAAATGTCTTCTAGGATGCTTTCTCCATGTAAATGAGATGTCACCCGTGTCCAACTTCAAAATCCAACATTATGACAGGCCTGCTCATAATAGTCCTCAGAAGGTCTAAAGAGAATCTGGGCCTGCATCAGAGTTCAGTCCCAAGTCTGGCAATCTCTAGATTCCCGGGGTGGCACAGAGGACTGCTAGCTTAACTAATAACCAAACAGATGGCAGTTCAAATCCATCCAGAGGTACTTTGAAGGAAAGGCCTAAAGATCTGCTTCTGGAAGGTCACATACAGCTTTGACACGTGAGGTGCTGTCAGTTAGAAAGACACGATGACAGCAACACAGCTGGCGATTGAGGGATAACTTAGTAACTTAGGCCTGGAGGCGCTAATTATTTTTTATTTTTTAAAAATTATTATTAATTTCAGTGAACATCTACAGAGATTTTGGAATTCCATTCATTCATTGATGCAATTTTCTCTCTACCTACTCACCCCCATCCCTACCCCCAGTTCGCTCCTCTCCTTGAAAGGCAAAAGAAAAACTCCTTCATTGGTAC